ATGTAAGAGATTTAGAAGAGCATATTTTCTTTCTTCGTCACAGTTGGATAATTTTAAATAGAAATGGTAAACTGAGTTTGAAATATAGAAGGGACTAAATTTTTGGCGAATGGTGGGCATTGGTGGCGTATGAAAATACCTTGTTCTGCTTTTCAAAATTATTTTAGAAACAATCAATCAAACTTCGGTTATGTGTATTGTGGTATATTGCTGAGCTAAAGTCAAAGAATTGTAAGCGACCCAGGAACAAGCCTTGTTTAAAACAGAATTATCTCTCTTGAAGTTAGTATTTCTGAGAACCACAATATGTGTAATTTACGAGTACTTTGAAGATCGTTTGTAGAAACCTTAATTAGGCTTTAAAGCCTAAAATAAAGGTTGTTTTTTTTTCAAATGTGCTTAGTTGCTTACCGACCCTCGTAAAATGCATCCGACCAAAACTTTTTTTCAGCAATATTTTGAGATGTTTTTTGGTAAGTTTTATGTTCTCTAATGAAACTGTTCCATTATATATATTTTTGATATTTATTTTTCTCAACTAAGGGACTATTAATAAGTGGAGCTTATTTACATTTAGTAACTCTCTAAAAAAATCTTTATGGTTTATTATAAAACGATAAAAGTCTTAATCCTTAGATGCATGTGACATTAAAATATTACTTCACAAGTAAGGAAAGTTGAGCATGGAAAATCTGGTCATTTCGTCTGTCATTCAAATTAATTATTAGTTGGTTCTTATCGTTTATAGTCATTAAATCATCAAAATATGAAACTTCCAACTTTTCAATTACAAAAAGCTTTACATGGCCTGGATATCGAGTACCTGAAACATAATCCACCATCATGTTCTCGTTCTGCTTCACCCACAACTATAGTCCTGCTGAACACGCTATTACAGGTGACGTAAATATAGTTAATAATGAGGATTTTAAAAGGTCCTAAATATAGTGAACCCCAATCCTTCAACTGGCGTCGGAATTTCATAAATATTATAGATTCTGTTGAAGATTACGCCAGACGATGGGCCAGATATGAAAAAGAAGATGTTGAAACTTTGTCAGAATGGATTAAATATATAAGATCCATGTTAAAATCGCGTATTTTAAAAACTTTGAGGGGCAATATGAACACCATCTATCCTTCTGTGTTCAATAGTCCGGAAGTGAAAACAGAATTAGATAGATAACATGATCAGTACCTACTGGTCCCTGCTGACAAAGCAGGTAACAACATTGTCTTTGTTTGTAAGGCTCATTATATTAATTGTATTTTAGAAGAACCTGGATTTGATTCTACAAGTGGTAATCCAACTTATACTCATATTTCCCTTTCTAAGGAAGAAATTCTTCAAAATCATGTAAGTTTTAAATATTTTTAATATCCCAAAGAACCAAAATGAAGTTGAACTACCATATATATATATATATATATTGGATTCCGAAACTTCATAAGAATCTTTACAAAGATACATAGCGGGTTTCAATAAATGTTCAACCAAGCCTTTTTCTTTACTCCCCACTAAGATATGAAGCGTAGTGAAGGAGAAACTCCAAGAGTACTGTGCAACAAAATATTCAAGAACTGTACTGTGGGACTTGGAGACCGGTCTTTCGGATGAGACCGTATAAACCGAGGCCCCGTGTCGCAGTAGGTGCTTGCAAGATCCCTCACTGCTCAAAGACCTTCAGTGTCGAGCATAGGACAAAATTTGTAGCCCTCCACCGGCAAGTGGTGGCGTCTCTATATGGGTTAACAATTCTCGAGAGGGACGTTAAAGAAATCACAAGATTTAACCAAAATTAACAGTTTTTTAAAAAACTTACGACTTTTCAACTTTATATACAACCATACATTAAAGTCCAGGCTTTTTGATATCATTGACAGCTGCTTTTTCAATAAAAATGGAACCCGGAAATTTACTAACCTTGTCATTGGTAATTTGCAAAATTATTTTGTTAAAAACATTCTGATTGTACAAACAAGTGCTCTGAAGTTGACATCAAAAAAGATGCTTGAGTTTCTGACTGACAATATCTATGTTAAACTTAAACCAGCTCACTTTTAATCTCAATCTCTCTTTTCCACTAAATATTCCTTTGGAAAAGTTAGACTGAGATCAAAAGTGAGCTCGTCTAAGCTTTATGGTCCCCAGACCAGGTCCTCCAACAATCTATTGGAATTTCCATGGATACCAATAGCGTCCCGTTATTCGCAAAACCTATTTTTGTATTCATATGAAGCAGAATTTGTCCAAAATCTGATGCGTGAAAAGAAGAAATCACTTGCTGTGGCCTTCAAACTGACATTCAGATACATCGACGATCGACCTATTGTTCAATTAACAATGGTAATTTCCATTCTTGTGTCGATACGATATATCCTAATGAGCTTGAGATAAAAGATACCACAAAGTTCGACACGTCTGTTTCATATTTTGATATTTTACTTGAAAAAAGACGTTAATGATAATCTGACAACCAAGCTCTATGATAAACGTGATGACTTTAATTTTTCTATCGTCAACTTCCCTTACTTATGCAGCAATATACCCTCATCACCTGCATGCTAGGTTTAAAAAGTATTAAAAAAAATATTAAAAAAAAAAAAAAAGGTTTATACGTATATCTCAGTTGATTCGATACGCAATAGCATGTTCACATATGAACAATTTCTTAAACGAGGTAAATTATTGACAAACAAGTTGATGAAACAAGAATTTCTGCAGTCTCATTTAAAATCAACATTTCTTAAGTTCTATGGTCGATAAAGCAGCAAATACTTTGATAGCAAATACAATTTATCATTGAGTCAAATGCTGACTGACGTTTTTCATACTGATTGTTAGACCATTATTTATACACTGAATTGACGAAGGATTTTCCCGTTATTTTCGGATCATTACAAGGAACATACAGCGGGTATGACCGGTCGACAGGGGATGCTCACTCCTCCATGGCACCTGACCCCACCTCTGATGTGTTGGAGGTCCGTGTTTGCTCTGGTCCTATTAAGTATTGTTTTCTGGACGTTGATCTTGAATACTGTTCGTTATCTCCATGTCTTTATATATTTCACTAATGAGTAATGAAGCAAAAAAATTTTTTTTCTTTCTTTTCAATACGTAATCGTAGAAATATTCTTTTATACATTGTTGTAAAATCCTTAATTTGATATAGTGAAAACTTAAAAATCATCGATATTTTTTTTAAATCTGTATTTTTGTTTTTGTTAAATTTTTTATTTTTATTTTAAATTTTCTTTAAGTTCTTAGAGGTTCTTTGGATTTAGAATCCACATTCGACTTGTACTTCTCAAATGTACTGCAGCACTGAACGTTGGTATCTTTGACAACAGTTAATATTTTTTATAAGGTATAAAGATGGAGGCTTGGTAGAGCAGTTGCTATCTCATCAATGTATCTTTATTTATAAGGGTTTTTTTAAAGTTAAGGAACCATGTATAGGTAAAATATCTAATTCACTTTTCGTTGAGGGAAATAATCAAAGTAATATATTAGGCTAAAATATCATTTTGAAAAAAATACGTCTTAAGAAATTTAACTTTAAGTTACCATTTTCCAAAGGTAGAAACCAAGTTCTTTAAAAATATATTGTAATAATGAGCTTCAAAGAAAATTAGGATATTGTTAAAAGCCTTTTCAGCTGGAACCATAACACATTGTTCTTGTAGTTCTTGTTTTAATCCCAATTTATTGAAAAAGTTAAATTTTAGATGCTAAATTATATTACACGGTTCTTTAGTATATTTCTTAAGCAATTTATATAGGTCTTTCTTATAATATTTCTCGATCCTATCTGTTGCATTATTCCTCAACAGAATTTACTACAATGATAAGAAGTTTTGTCGCCCATTTAAAGTTCTGGTTTTCTTTATTAGGGATCCTTTATAGGGATCTTTTTTATGTCGTCATATTCAGCTCTATTTTCCTTATCTGTAATGGTGAGTCCAGTTTGAATGTAGTGAAATAAAGGTAGAAGAAAATCTATTTATCGTTGTTCGTTTTACACAATTAAGGAAATATTTTGATTAAATTAATTTTTGCTCAGTCAAGGACTTTAGAGATCCTATTATCAAATTATGTAAAACTCAATGCACAAAGGTCAATATATATATATATATATATATATATATATATATATATATATATATATATATATGCATTTGAATTTCTACATCGTGTATCCATTTGAATATTAAATCGCATTGTTAACAAAGTATATTACCTAGACTTAAAAAAATCACCAAAGTTTAGTAATTGATTGACTCGAAATAAAGCATTGTTTTGCAAATGGTAGTTTTGAAGTACATCTTGATACAAGACACATTCTAATATCTGACCTGTCTGATAATGAAATAGCCATTGTGAAGTTCCGGACGACCCAGGCATTTGATTCACGTTTTCGTAACATTTTGATGTATGTCAAGGTTTGGAGCATATTAGATAATTATAAGGGCAAGCATGCGGAAATTCAATTCAATATGAGCTGCATTTTAAGTAATGTCATATTATTATGTTTATATATTGCATGTTTAATCTTCATAATGAATAAGACTAAACAGTAACTTCGAATGAGTCTAAACCTGACTACTTCTTATATTATTGGTCAAACTGAAAGTTCAGGTTAGTGTTTCATACGCTATATAAAACGACAGTTTGTTCTTTTTGAGTATAAACCAACAACCCCCTAACCACCATAACCCTTCAATAAAAATCACCTATTAATTTTAACATTTAGAAAGAAACTTTATGTCACTAAGAATTAGATCATACAAATTATATCTCTCCTTTGTTGAAAACTTTTTTCTTTAGAATTATAAAAAAAAATATTATAAATTTAAAAATTGTACACCTATTCAGATGATGTTTTATTGTATGTTGTTATCATGGATTGCTTCATGCCTTCATGACGACCAAAGCATGTGCTCCAAACTTATGGAAGTAGGTTATCTTTGTCTCCAGTGTTGATATTTAAGGACATTAGTGTTCCCCCTGTCAGAGGTAGGTCGCCGGTAACTAGTGAGGATGTACTCTCTTCTAACTCTCCTGGTTGTGGTAGGTGCTGTTTATGCACAGGTTCCCCGACCTTGCAGTAAGTTTATTTCTTATATATTTCCCAAATTTAATTTTTGAGCGTTTTATCTTTAAAAATCAAATGTTAAATACGATATAGAAAAAATAAGAAATTTTACATGATTGTATAATACTAGTATTCTCAAATTCTTTGCAGCAAAGTTCAGAAAATCAACAATGTAATTTTAGATCTATGATCATCTATATCACTTTTTCTTTAAAAAAAACTTGGGTGCTTCAGATATGGGGTTTGAATGCAACCTTCCACTCTGTTATCAAAGAGTATTACGTGTATGTTGATGTTCTCTTTGTTTGGAAATTTTTGCAATTGTAGGCTTTTCTGTCATTTCAACCTCAGGTTTTGAATTCCCTTGGTTCTATTCTTATATTCTATAAGCAAAGTTCCATTTTTAACATTCTAGTTATTACTCAGAGGATATCAAATCGTAATTGCAAGAAAATCATGTTGCATTATTGCAAGTGTATCATCCTCATTGAAAGATTCCCCTGGTCAAATTAAATTTCAAAATTTAATGATATATTGATTGTAAGTGACCCTTTTCTAGCTTACATAAAATTTGTTTCAAGTTTTTGAACCATGCAGTTGCTTGGGAGTTAATATAACTATTCTGTACTACAGAGTCAAGATTGGCCTTATGCAGCATACTGACAATGACATCTTTCTGTTTCAGATTCTCCACCTCAGTGGGAATGCAGAGAAATTAAAGTAAGTGTTCAATAATAATCCAAAGTTTCTATGAATGTAAAACACAAATCTTGTACATTCCGAAGTCCTACCCCAACGAAAGCATGTTTTGCACACACTTGATATAAAATACTTTTATTGATCAATTCGAAAAGATGAAATCCACTTTTACCATCGTTTGTAGCCACATCCTGGATCCAGAGGATATGACTTGATTCCATATGTAGCATGTATAAGTATCTTCTTCTGTATGTCAGGTTGACCCCTCTCAGAAGTTCCTGGAGCGTCGCCGCCTCTTCTATGACGCCACAAACAGACGTGAAAGAAGATTCGAGGAGATCGAACTTGGAAGCGACAGGAGCTTTTATGATCAGCTCATTTTGTGGAATGAAGTATATCAGTCTTTTTTTAACAATGAAAAGGAAAAGAAAATAATACCACATAAACGAGTTAACTCTGCATTCATTTATTGTTCGTTTTGCATAAGACCACTGAAGTTATGTACATTTGTATAATCTATCTCTTTAAACTTTTATTTCTCCTTTATAGGCCATTGTTAAATTCTTAATACTTATTCAGGCTGAATATGAAGTCGTTAATTTAGATTGTAAAAGTCAAATGAGTGCAAGTAATTAAATGTTTTACATTGCAAGTATAGAATATAATTACATTAAAATGAATTCTTTTTAAAGAACAAAATGTACCAAGTAGATCTCAAGACCAGAAAATGTAATGTTACCGTTCCATATCGACCATTTTTCCAACGTGGGACTTTCCCTGGAGAGAAGTTTGATTATGAGGGCGTGATAGGTGGCGCTGGTCTCCCCAACGAACAAGTCACAATTCAGCAGTTCTCTATGAATACCACAGGAGGTAGGTTGTATGCCTGCAGGCATGTTCATGAAACTTGCCTAAGATTTGTCCTAAGATCATTCCTAAGATACGACTCGGGAAGAAAGTTAGGAACATCCTAAGATCAACTTAAGACATATAATAAGATGTATCTCGACGATAACTTATGAAGATCTTAAGTTAGGACATCGTAACTTACAATGAACACTTGGATATACCTTTACCTTCAGCTGAGAGAGCGACGTGATTTTGTATGAAAATGTATTTGATAATTATACTATAAAGTTTCACTTCACTATGCAGATGCCAGGTACACCCCGGTTTTATTCCCAGATTGTATTCCAATTTAGAATACTCACATCATAATAAAATAAGAATATGAAAAATTCAAGACTTTGACCTTTCCAAAATTTTGATATTTCAGAAGCTCGATTTTCCTTGGTATCATATCCAGACTGCATCCCGATTCAAAACGTTCATATCACAACCAAATATGGATATGAACAATCCAAGTAAGCATACTATTATCATTTAATCTTACAGATTGATGAGGAGGTTGTTCGTTTTATTTAAAAAAAAAAACGTTTGCTTTAACATATTTTGGGGACAAAAACTTTACAATTTCGTATATTGCATATATAATTACTTAATAAACATATACGTATAATATTGTTTGTTTCCCTTTACAGTTATTACGACTTGAGTGTTGGAATTAGCGATCCAATGGCTTTTATTCCACCCAAGGAATGTGGAGCCTAAATATGTTCACTTTTATACTTTTGTACAAAAATAAAATTGTAAAAAAATATATGAACAATGGAAAGTTATTTTTTTATTTCAACTGAAAAAAATGCATTAAAGGGGATATATTCCGTTTTCTTTTGTGAGAGAAATTTTTAACTATTTCATGATTCTACATTTTGAAAAAAAAATCCTGATTTTTTTGCTTTAAAAAAGAAATCAAAGCAATTGTACGTTTGATAATTTCGACTATATAAAATGGATGATATGAGGAATATCTGTTTATTGTAGTAACATATTCTGACGCACCTAGCGAGCATTTAGAGATACAAGTACTACATGTAGCCATATCACAGATATTTTATATAAATTTATTAGCTATGAAAACAATCAGTACTTTATTGTTCCCATTGAATCTTAATCTTAATGCAATGAAATTCATTATTCAAGGTTACTGGGTATACACACATTCATCCTGCATATACAAGTACACTAAAACCTGAATGCTAAACTGCAAATGTTATTGATTAATTTGTTGTGTGTAAGGTATAATATCAGAAAGGAAAAATAGTGTTTAGGTTTAAATGGATTACGTGTTATTCACTGTTTTACTTACTGATCAAATACAAATACTTTATTGAGTATATTTGTATATTCCTTGAGCAATAGTAAATGTAAATCTTTATGAAACTAAACTTCTTTTTTATCAAAAACTTCAAGACATAGGAAATCGACTGTCAACTCCAGTGGTTTTATTGCATTAACATTTTACTTAAACGTGGAAAAAGATTTTACAGAAAAGTAACATAATTCTAAGGGAGAATTCCAGAGTTGTGTTGAGGTACTTGGGTAAAGTAATCCAGAATGAGGGTGAAAGAATTTGGTACTTTTAAAGAATACCCCTTGTACATAGTTCCAATCAAACATTACTTTAAATTGAAAGTTATGTTTTTGAAAATCCAAATTTGATTTACACCACTTGGGTAATTTGTGACATAGTATATCTAAATATTCTCCTTTACAAAAGTTAGTAGTTTTGTGAGGGGTAAAATTAAAACCCTGGTAGAGCATCCACTAGACCTAGGAATGTCCTTTTGTGAGTAAGGATATTGGAAGGGAATTACCGCCAAAAGTCTATGTATCTTGATTTTATTCTTATTCTGCCTACTTCTTTATGCTTTGTTATTATTGTAACTATATGTCACTTTATTGTTTTCATATTCGTCTTTATTACATTCACTTTGACTTTTATCCTTCTTCATTTTGCCCTTACTTCTATGTTGCTTTATTCTTGTAAATTCATTTTACTTTCTTTTAAACTTAAACAGTTTCTTAAATAAATTATTAGCATTATCTCTACTACGAATGTTAATTCAATCACGCAAACAATGAAGCAAATTCAATGAAGACGAATACAAGTTGTCCGAATTTAGTGCCGCATTATAACGCTAGGTGGCAGGGGTGTTCGCTAAGAGTGTTGGTAAAATTAGGTAAGCAAACCCGGGCCGGGGTTATTCGAGTTTTTTCAATTCTCTGCCTTAATACTTTATCAATCAAACTTAAATTTTAAATTGACTGATGTTTGTTATAAGTTCAGGTATGTACACGATACATGCCATTCCCTCGGAAGTCTCGCTAGATGGTAAGATTTCCCCTGGAAGACTGACTACATAGTGATGCTTCCTTCGGAAGACTATGCAGTGGGACTTCCCCCGGGGAAGTTTCAATATATAGCTAGTCTTCCATGGGAAATCTCGCTATATATAGCAATTCGCCCTCATTCCTAGCAACCCCTCCCCCGAATAGTTTTTTTTTTAAATCGTAAAACAATGTTTATATATACTAACGTTTTCAGTTTTTGAAGAAAAGTTATCCGTTCTATATGAATAAATATTTAAATAATATTATTTTAATAGTGTTTTATAATTAAATCATTTTAACCATTTAGTTAAACATAGATAATCTTTACGAGTACATATGGATAATGACTCTTTCTCTCCCCCCCCCCTGGATGCAGTCGCCCGCGTGGCACTGTGGTTACGGCGTCTGCTCTATATAGAGTCACGAAGTACAGTAGTAAGGAGTCGACCAATACGTCGTGGGTTCGAATCCCACTATATGACGTGGAGTTTGGTCCTTCGGATGAGATCTAGATTATATTATCCGAGGTCCCGTGTCGCAGTAGGTGCTGGCACGAAAAAAGACCCCTCACTGCTCAATGGCTATAAGTACCGAGTATATAGGACAAATTTGCAGCTCTCCACCGGCAAGAGGTGGCTTCTCCATTTGAGTGAAAAATTCTCGAAAAGGAAATTATACAATGTACAATCACACCACCAGAGTCTCAATATATATACTGACTTCCGGGTGGACGACCTCCTATTGGGTAAGTTTCATCGGTAGAGGGGAGGGTGGCCACGAAACATTTTCCTAAACGTAACTTTTTACTGCTGGAAAAGTTCAGCGAAAGGCTTGTTGCCCCATCCTTGACACTTTTTGTTGCAGTACTAATAGTCAATTTATATATTAAAAGTCATGTACTTAGTGGCATATGAGTAAAATTTATTACTGAAAAAAGTTGACGACCCCCCCCCCCCTTTCAACACCACCAAATAGAATTTTCGAGTTTTAAGATTTTTTTAGCTCTCCTGGTTGATGACAAACACGGTGCATACTAAAGACATTTCTTTCTTTATTGAAAAGTGCTATTTTAATATAAAATATTAACGCAGAAAAAAATACCAGGGTGTTTCTAGTATGCCTGGGTGCATGTAGTCTGGTTCCGACTTTGCCTTCCATGCATGGATCTAGAGGGGGGTAGGACCCCCTGGAATTTACAAGGTTACTAAAACAAGGAGAAAAAAGTTAACCCCCCTTCTTTTTATGCTTGTTAAGAAATTTCTGGGATTGGATTTTTTTTGACTGGATTCCCCCCCCCCCCCCCGGAAAATAATTCTGGATCCGCGCCTGCCTACCCATAACGCCCCTCACTCCTTTGCAAAGCCCTGTCCCTAGAATCAAGCGCATCAGCAGTTACTATCTGTCGTGAAATAAAGTTCAGTTCAGTGGAAGGTTCTGAAAAACATTCCAATTTATAAGGGTTAACTAGTATCAAAGTATTTAACATTTTTATATCAATTAAACTGATATTCAAATATCCAACAAATAACTTTAGTAGAGTTATATTTTTTCAGGCGAGAGAACAGTGACGTAGCATCGTTTTTGAAAGTGGGGAGGGGGGCAACAAGAGAATAAATATTCAAGCTACCCGGCTGAAAACAACTTGACAAGCGCAAAATAAACCCCAGGAAATTGTCCAAACTTGAAAATACATAAGCGTCGGAACCGGGGAGGGGGGGGGGGGGGGCTTAGCCCCCACTTCTTTCCAAAGATAGACTTAGTATAGACATTGAACAGCCCTGCGTAGGTTTAGCCCCCCCCACACTTTCCATGGACACGATGCAGTAAAGGTTTAAAATGGGGAAAGTGGTGGTATTTGGGAAAAAAAAACCTTTGACACTGGAGTTCGAACCTTCAAACCCAGCCCCCCCCCCCCCCCCCCCCATGAAATAGGATTTTTTTGTTTGGAAAATGGACATTTTTTTTTTTTTGCTTGTCAGATTTTTTTTGAAGGTCTAAAAAAATTCTTACACTTACCCCCCCCCCCCCCCCAACTTTCAATGAAATCCTATTTCGGGGGCGGGGTGGGTTTTGAGTTAGATTCAACTTCTTTTATAGAATCAAATTTAAATTTTCTTCCTACTATACGTACTACATTAATTAACTTATTTGACCCTTACTCTTACAAAAAGTGGGTCGGCCTTTTAATGAACTTATTCAGTATATTATAAAGTTATGTCTGAAAAAAGAGGCCGCTATTCCTGTGTGTCCAGAGAAAATAAATATGGAGTTTCCATCATTGGATCGGATGATCGGATCCGGCCTTCAGAAGTTCGATTGATAAAGTACTAAGGCCAATTGAAGAATCTCAAATAACCCGACCCGGGTTTGCTTACCTAATTTTACCAACACTCGTAGCGAACACCACACCACCTAGCGTTATAATGCCGCACTAAATTTTGACGGTTTGACAACTTCCATTCGTCTTCATTGAATATGCTTCATTGTTAGCGTGATTGAATTAACATTCGTAGTAGAGATAATGCTAATAATTTATTTAAGAAACTGTTTAAGTTTAAAAGAAAGTAGAATGAATTTACAAGAATAAAGCAACATAGAAGTAAAGACAAAATGAAGAATGATAAAAGTCAAAGTGAAATGTTATAAAGACGAATATGAAAACATTAAAGTGACATATAATTACAATAATAACAAAGCATAAAGAAGTAGGCAGAATAAGAATAAAAGCAAGATACATAGACTTTTGGCGGTAATTCCCTTCCATAATTTAAGAATTGTTGGTGAGGATATTTAAGAATTTTTAAAATAGAGTACAGCCAGGATAGATTGAACTTGCCTTGATTGGTTGAATAGACCTTTAAAAATGTGACTTGAAGACTTAGGCATGGGCAATGATATTTTAAAGCTCTTCTAAAAATATTTTTTTCATTCAAAATAATGATGGTTGCATCGATCTGTGACACAGATGAGTTGTCATTTGGAAAAGTATGATGGTCCACTCCATTTTGTATCAAACAATTTTTGATACATTGCTAGAAAGGGACGTTATAAGACAGGGGTTTGCAAAATAGCATGTTAAACGTTGCAAAATTCTGTATTTTCCATTTGTATTTATAACTGTTCTTGCATATTGCACATATCCAAATTTGTACTAGTAGGTGTATTTTTTCAAAATGACATTATTTAATTGTTCATCTTTTTAAAAAAAAAAAAAAATCATCAAATATACACATATTGCAACATTTGAAATGCCATCTCACCTGTTAAGAGCCTATAGCCTGTTTTGAGCTTTAATAGTTGACAAAAATGTAACTCGTTTTAATTGTTGGAACAGATGTTTCTACGTATTTATTTTGTTCTTTATAAAATAAATACACAGTCTTCAGTTTACCATACTATGTTCAAAAATTTTAAACTTAATATCAATAAAACTTGCTAAAGTTTTTCAATATTTTCAAACAGTAAGATACAGGGGTGTATAGTTTTTTGAACTGGGTTTAGCTGTCTGTCTATCTGTTTGTTTGCGAAAAATTAACCATGGTCATAGCTTTCGTTTGATTGGAGATGTAGTTTAATAGTTCATACTTTTATTTCTCGTAACAAAACCTTTCTCTTGATACCAATATACTTAGTATTTGACCTCTTCACGTTGACCGTAGAGTCTGTCTCACTTTTGCCAAAAAAGGATATATCTTGTGACAAGACCTTCCTTTGGATACCAGCAATTTTAAACTTTTGACGTCGACCCTGGGTTTTGATTCTCTGTTGAAAAACTCTAATCTTGACCGTAACCTTTAAAGATTTGGTGCTAGGGTTTTTATATTCCTTATGTGTATTTCCTGTAACAAGGTCTTCCGCTGGGAATTTTGACACTTTGATCTTGACGTTGAAGTTTGAAATTAACCTTATCCATAATTTTTAAAGTAATGTTGCATTTTTTAAAGTAATGTTGCATGAGTTTTTTTTTTTTTTATTTTACAGGTATATTCAATCAGGCAAAAATCCTTTGTCTTGGACAACAACTATTTTGATCTCTTGACTTTGGAGTTTGACCTGCAGTTTAGAAACTCTATCATTTTAATTAAAAGCTTCCAGAGTTTCACTAAAATATCTTGTTCAAATTTGTTTTTAATCTCTCCTTTTTGAATTGTTCTCTGTTTTGCATTCTTACTCCAAAGATTGCATTGCTATAAATGCTCAAGCATAACCAGAGACTTAAATGCGTATATACTTCTAGAGCCGTATGATTATTCCTTAGTCTGATAAACTTTATCTGTCCAAATGTTTCTCCAGATCCTTTTCTGTTTACTGGTCGGCCAAATTATTTCCCAGCAACCTAAGCCCTGTAGTAAGTAAAACATTACTCTACAGTTATTTTTAGTAAATTTCCAGGTTAAAAGCAAAGTATTATAATTTCCTTTAATTTGTTATGTGCTTTTTGTTTTTATAAATAAAGTCTTATTGATTTACTTCCGATTTTGTTATTTTTTCAGCTTCCCCTTCCGTTTGGGAGTGCAATGAAATCAAAGTGAATATAAAATCTTTTTGCATTTTTATTTGTTTTGAGAAGTTAAACCTTTGTTGTTACCTGATTATGATTTGTGTTTGAAAGGTTGATCCATCTGCAAATGTCACCAAAAAACGCCGCTTGTCATACGATTCTAGAAACAAACGTGAGAGAAGAGTGGAGACTATTGATAAAGCTAGCAATATAACTGCCTACGATGAACTGATACTGTGGAATCAGGTAATTCAAACTGAAATGAAAGCCAAACAAACTTTTTATTATTCATTTTCATCTTTACAGTGATTTACAGTGATCATAACTTGGGGTTTTAGAATAAAATGTACAGGCTGGATTTGAAAACCCGGAAATGCAATGTGACAGTCCCACATCGAGGCTGGGTACCACGTGGTACACATCCGGGAGATACCTTTTTTAGCGAAGATTATGTTGGAGCACCTGGTTATCCAAAGGAAAGACTCACTGTTTTACAGTTCGTTTCAAATAAAACTACAGGTAAGGATCCATCAAACATTTTTTACCAAAAATTTACCTTAAAAGTTGATTTTGTAACAGTTATCTTTAGTTTGATGATTGATTGATTGTATACTGTTTAACGTCCCTCTCCAGAATATTTCACTGATATGGAGACGTCACCATTGCCGGTGAAGGGCTGCAAATTTAGGCCTATGCTCGGCACTTAAGGCCTTTGAGCAGGGAGGGATCTTTATCGTGCCACACCTGCTGTGACACGGGGCCTTGGTTTATACGGTCTCATCCGAAGGACCGCCCCATTTAGTCGCCTTTTACGACAAGCAAGGGGGTACTGAGGACCTATTCTATCCCCACGGGGTTCTTTAGTTTGAAATCATTTATTACGTTTTTTTTAAAAATTCTTTTCTATGATACTAGACTTTGCAAATTTACCGTGTTAATCTTTATATTAAGTTCCAGATATGAAGCACACGATTGTGTCCTCACCCGACTGTGTACCCATTCGTACAACCATTTTCAGTTCCACACGTGGATTGGAAATCTCAACGTAATTATTGAGTTATATATACCAGTATATAGTTATATATACCAATCTATCCCAGTTAATATCTGTGGAACGCTTAATTAACATATATTCAATTATTTGAACCTATCTTCAAATAATTGTACCTATCCTCAAATAATGAAACCTTTTTCAAAATGAATTGAAGATAGGTTCTTTCCTCCAAATAATTTAACCTAGGTTCAAATAAATTAAACTTATCTTTAATGGAATTACATCTTCCATTCAATTTAAGATATGTTCAGTTGAAAATAGGTACAATTGGTTTATAGATAGGTACTATTGATTTGAAGATAAGTACAACTGAAATATATCCACAAAAGGGTTTAAAGATAGGTACAGTGCAATAATACATAATTTCAATTCTTTTTCTGTTAAAGTTATTGACAAAAATGACAGCTCCCTCAAATAGGGACTTTAACATGGAGGGAACAACGAGAGGAATTTTTATGGGAGAAGCTCTTATTGTCAGCATCTTTATTATTAATTTTAATTTAATTGCACTTATCTTCAAATCAGTTGTACCTATCTCCAATTGTACATATCTACAAATGAATTAAAGATATAAGTAAAATTGAATTTGGCTATTTTAAATTTATTTTAAGATGAGATGCAATTGATTTGAAGATATGTACAATTAATTGAAGATAGAATCAAATATTTACAGATATACATGTTGATTTGTTGATATATTCATATTTTCGTTTTAGGTCTATGATATATTCCACATATAACCGTATTATTGATTTTTTTTATTTCTTGTCAAAGTTAACTTTTCCCAACTTCGTGTTCACAGCATCTGTACACATTTATTTTCAGTCTTTTATGTCGTCATAACATGTATTTTGTAGGTTTTTTTAAATATCAATAATTGTTTTCACTTACTTAGAATATTTTCTCTCTTTTTTTTTATTTTTATGCTAGTATTTATCAATTCTTTTTTATTTTAGCTTCTTTAAGTTTTCAGTTTAATTCACCTTATAACAAAGCTTTGTAAAGTGTTGTCTGTGTCAAAATTAGTAAATTTTATTACTTATCGGTGGAACAATGTTTTCTCTACGAAACATCTCCAAATTTTGCCTTCTCAAAAGATATTGAATGATAATTACAGAGCAAAAAATAGAGACTTAAGGATCATTGTTACTCTGATAAGAGAGGTTACTCTTAGTGTAATTAAGGTTTAATATTCCTTTATAAAATTGTCAATTTGGAATGTCTTTTATGTCCAATTGCGACCTACAAGGTATGCCAATATAATTTGCCTTGTACTCATTAGAAACACTTCTTTTGAAAAATCACAAGTGTTAAAGTACTTAATATACGTACTTTTCATGAGTGAACAGAGGGTTTGCGAAACTTGAGCATGTTTTTTTTTTTTTAATGTTTACAGGTTCATTTTTAGTTTTGCTTTGTTTAGAAACGGTTTTATAATTCCTTCATTTAAAATTGTGGCATAAAGAAGATATAATTATACGTATATTACTTTAACTTTTTGTAACTTTTATCATACACCAACTCCGCGAATTCAACAAACCGCGATTGTGACAGAGAAGGGAAAATGTGAAAATTACAACGCGTGAAAGTAATCCCGTATACAGTAATAAGTACTATGATCTTGTCAGGTATTTAACAAAATAATATGCGAGCAAAAAGCAAAAGGAACAGATATAAAGGCAAGAAAAACACGGTCTTTTTTGCGAAAAGAAAAAAAAATCATTTGACATTTCTTAATACAAGTCTTATACATGTAGGTTCAATAGCCTATGGGACTTAATGGTTCATAGGTCTTTCATATCTAGGTGAAATACTAGTTGCAGTTTAATGGAGCCCTCTCCGATTTAAGGGTTGAGGGTTTGGAGAGAAAAAAATATCAATTAAAAAAATGGGAGAGGGCTATAGCAGCTAGTTAAATGCTAGGAGTGTACTATAAGATCAGTCTTAACTAAATTACCAATTGCTTATGTTATATTTATTTTCAGTTACTATGATCTCAATATTGGGATATCGGACATGAAAGTATGGAATCCTCCAAAAGAATGTCATTAATAACGCCATAACATTTTTTCAGAATCGTGTCATTTTTGTGCTTAATAAAAAAATATACCAATGATCTTTTTCATTTCATATTGCAATATATAAGATAAGAAAACAAAATTCGCTAATAATTGTGTCACAGTGATTGCTTTTTAATACACTGCAATATTTGATAAGTAAAACTGTTCAATTTATTTATACCAACTTTAAAATTGTATTAAATAAATTTAAAGTCGGATAACGATTTATACGTATTGCAACACATGACATCAAATGACCGGATAAGAATCGCTCACACGTGTACAAATTCAGAAATGTGTCTGGTAATATAGCAGTTCTAGAGTTCTTATCTCTCCGGCAGCAAACTAGAACAAAAGAGCGGACTGTCGCTTGTTTTATCTCAGTTTTCGGCTCACTAGTTACCAGAAAGATGTTTCTCGCCGTTGTCTGTATGTTGGTGTGTGCAGTTTCTGCACAAGCCCCCGTTCCCTGCAGTAAGTAAATTAATAAAATTACAATTAATGTAGAGAATAATACCATATTTGTAACAATCCCTTTTATTACTTTTGAGCTTGGATACTGTTCTTTATTTCACTATATAAGGCATGTTTTGAAAAATGTATTCAGCAGAGATGTTCATAAAGAGAAAAAAACTATTATCAGACTAAGTCATATTCCCTGCATTAAGAATTTTCCCAGCTCATAAAAAGCTTATCATTTATCAATTTCGTTACTTTACCTATACGTATAGATACATGCATGTATTAGATTTTTGTCAGTCAAACACCGTACTGTTTTGGGTTAAATGTTTGTAAAATGTCAAAGAAGACGACTTTTTTAAAAATTTGTTTCTTGCAGGTTCACCACCACAATGGGAAGGCCGGGAGATAAGGGTAAGATTCTGTATTTTCTTCAACGCAGGCGTACTACAAAAGTTCAAGCAAGTTTGAAGCATTGAAATGGAACAGATTTCACGATAAACTTAAAGGAAATATATTCTGATTATAAAGTATTAATATATAGTGTGCTGTGTGATTGGCTTTCAAGACTATTTTCCATCTAGTTAAGTTTCTACCTAATGATAACTTGAGTGCTAAAATTATATAAAATAAATTGAAATTTATATTTCTAGAAAATCAAAAAGAAACAGATTAAAATTCTAGATTTCTGCAAAGTATAATATGAACAATGTAACATGTTGGTAAAAAAAGCTTTAACCAAACACATCATTTAATTTTAATGTTCAAGAGTTTTCCGAAAGACCGACAAAATCCAATCTTCCTACCATGAACTGATCACCAACGCATGCCGAAGACGGTAGGGGAGGGACAAAAAAAATCTCTAATTACAGAATTCATGACCATTATTGTTTGATCAGGTTGACCCCTCACAGAAGTACGAAGAGAAACGATTTTTGGCTTATGATGAAACACAGCAGAGAGAAAGAATCATGACAGAAATAGAAATTGGGTCGGAGAAGAAACTTTACGATATCCTTATCTTACACCGTGAGGTAGGTCATACCAAATTTGCAATGACACGTTCTGTCTTTATTCTGTTTTTAAAATATCACTTAATTTCCATGTACAACTAAAATTAAATGTTAAATTCACCACCTCTCAAAAGGTAACAGATTCAGATCATCTAATTTTATTTGGATTGACTATAACACTGCTTGATTGACTATATCACACCGCTTAAAACCTTTGTGTCCTTAGTCGTTTGACTGCATTAGCTGCTTATATCATAATACTTAAGAGTTTGCTTTTCCTCACAACCCATGCTTCAGATTGTACCGAACTTAGATTTAATGCCCTAGAAGAGTCCTTGCTAAATCTCAGACAAGAGTTATGTTGAGTTTATGATCACTAATCTCTGACCTTAAATTAGTTAAACGTTTAAAAATTCTACATACGAAAAAGGGTAACATCAATCAAAGTTATTGCTACAGGAGATAACTTTGTTTATGGTGAAAACCCATTAAAACGTACAAATTGGGTAAGTTTTTAGAACGAAAATGAAACTATTCAGACAGATGTTTCTTTAGTGAAAGTTATTTCAAATCATAACCTCGTTAAAAATATATAAGCTCAAATCAGTTTTTTTCATTTGACGAAATTTATTTTACCCATTTTTTTCCGCTTGATGGCAAAATATAAATTCTGAGAAGTAAAATTACAAGTATAAAACTTTTTTAAGGAACGCTAGCTTTTGAAAATGAAGGTCATATTCAAAGATGTATCACAGCTTTTGATTAAAACTCCTGTGAAAAAGGGTGTGCACCCCTTATCGAGCCATATGTTTAACTTATGTTCCAAACTTCATAATTATTTTCAAATATCAAACTATCTGTAAATTTATGCAATTTTTTTTCACCTGTAGAATAAAATGTATGCTGTGGACTTTTTAACTAAGAAATGTAATATTACTACCATCAACCGTCCTTTCCGCCCAAGGGGTGTCATTCCCGGATCAAAATTCGAGGGCGAGGTTGTCATAGGGGCTGCAGCAATCCCCAATGAGTCTGTCACTGTCCTGGCATTCTCTGGAAACTTTACTGGAGGTATACCTTTATCTACAAACTCATTAGATTATTTGATTTTGTAAACACCGATATGCTTTTATTATTAAAAAAAATCCTAAGACCTGTTAAAGATCTTTGAAAAGTTTTTAAAATGTGCTAAGATTTGTTTCTAAATTATACAATGAATTATTATTACATCAAATCAATCAAAGAGGTAATTTGTAATTTAGAAACTGAAGAAACGTATATATGTCGACTTAAATAATGTAGTTGGTGACGATCTAGAAACCTAGATGCAATAATTTTGTTTTTCTGCCTTTTGTTTCTATATTTGATCCCTTTTTTGACTTACAGAGGCTTATACTGGGCTGGTCTCTTCACCAGACTGTTTCCCCATCCAAAACATTCACTTCTCACAGAAATATGGATTTGAACAATCTACGTATGAGTTATTTTTGTAGATTTTTAAGCCAAACATTTAAAATTATTTTGTTCATTCTTCTGAATTTTCATTGAATGTAATCTCAAATCAATGTTATGTTATAATCAAGTGCATACTTATCTTTGACAAGTTTGTCCATTTCATTAGACATGATGTCTTTGTTGTAAACGAAAAAGTAATATATATCTACATGTACCTTTCATTTGCATTTATTTTTCCTTTTTGTAGATACTATGACATCAAAGTTGGAATATCAGATCCACAACTCTTCCTCCCACCTAGAGAATGTACCACACCCCCACCAGGGTATTAAAAAAACGTCATCAGAATTTCACAGATGTTAGGAAATTATATTACCCCTCATGTCTTCATCAACTCAAAGAATTTAAGCGACACGTTTATATTGTAGATCCCAAGAAGTAGATATAAAACTTTTTTATAATGGCTGTTCATTTTTTGTTACATTTAAAAGAGATATACTAACAATTCGTAATTTTGCATATTTTTAGCAATGCAGTTTAAGAAAAAAAATTATTTTTGTTCGTTCAAAAATTACTTTTTCAATTAATAATAAGAACGTCATCTAAAAATAAGAAAAGAACGTAATACATTTTGTCACTAGTTTTAACCCCTCAAGGCATTCTCTGTTACCATTTACGCATGTCTTAGGTCTTTGTACTCATGAACAGAAAATCTCAGCGTACTCATCTGACATATCTGATAATGTACACTCTTCATTTGATTGTTTCCAAGCGTTTTTGGAATAAAAGATATCATAATGGCGGAGATCTGGCGAATATGGGTGATGGTTCAACTCTGTATACTTTCTTTTCTTCAAAATCTTATTTATTTCTCTAAGCAGCCGCATTGCCAGGTATAGGATAATTATTCTGGGGACGGTATTTGGATTTTCTTTGCAGGAAATCTGCCTTAATTTCCTTAATGCACTTTGAACATAAAAGTAACCCTTGATAGTCCTTCATTTGGATGTACATATTTTCCTGGACCTTCTAAAATACAGGAAAACCAATAAAGCATTTTTGGAGCCCCTGCTTCTCTTTATAGTCATAATAAAAAGACACCTTTTTTCACTGTTTCCCCATTTTAAATACTGATCTCATTTTTCTGGTACAAAAAGTGTACAAGTCCTATGTTTTGTCACCCATCATGCAAGTTTATCAAGTATTCTATTTTGTCAAGAATATTGTTTTTGACCGTTGGCACATTTAAACCGTGTTTTCTCTCAGACATTTGTAAGAAACAACGGCATCAATGGGATAAAAATATTATTATCTTTTTCCTTATTCAGAATTCTATAACATGCTGTGGTTATGAAATGCAGGTAAACTTCGTTATCTCGACATCGACGGGACAGTAGGAAAATGTCGAGATATCCGAGGTGTCGAGATATCAGAGTTGAGACTCGACGTCCTTAATTTTACTGCTTAGTAAAACCATAGATTTAAACTGAACAGACGTGTTACTACCTACACGTCTTCAATTATACTGTAGCTCGTTTGTTTCAGCTATCCCTTTATATTTATTAGAAAATCTAAGAAGTTAATATATATTCCATTTGTTGTTTATGAAATGCTTTCTTTTTTATGGAAACCTTCTCATTTTTACTAAAAACCGTTTTCCATTCAGCATTCGATCCGCGTGCCACTAGCTCTGTCAGAACAGGATACGAAATGCGCTCTATAAACTCCAAACCGGAACGGTACAAAGTCGACTTCCGAGATACCGATAAAAAATTAATGCGTATATTTTTTAAAATCATTTCATTTCACTTCCTTTTTCATTTCATAATCATTCATAATTAATTTTCATTTTATTTTCAAGCCCAAATTTAGTTGGAATTGCACATTTAACAAATTTTATGGTGTTACCATATTACGGCTGTTGCAAGTCGTGCTTGTCGTTGTTTTGATTGCTTCCTGTTGAATGCATTTTACAATTTTTAAGTTTAATTGAATTCAATGTGTGTATTGGTCATTGTTATTCAGTGACTTCAGTGGCTTTTTTTTAAATAAAATATTTAGGTTTTGTTAGAATTCGACATTAATAAACGGTTGTACATTTACGCAGAATCGAGATTATTTATCAATGATATTACCCAAGCTGAATATTAAACAATTAACGTATTAGAGACGCCGAAGGGGCTTGGGATTCCTCTACAAACACAGTTCTACAGAGCAGTATGTAGTCAAAACATGGGTGTGAAAGGTGTGAATATCTGACGACGGCGAGATACCCGGAGTCGTCCGTGCGTGACGAGCGACCAGCTGACAAACAATTAGGTTAAGAAGAGCAGAAAATTGCCCCCATGTCGAAATAAACCAGGTAAATTTTGCTATTGGGACTGTGAAATACGTCGAGATAAGCGGGTAGTCGACATTACCGAGGTCGACATATCAGAGTTTTTGCAAATCATTTATATAGTGAATAATGCCGGGACCGCGGACGGACCTCGACATATCCAAGGTTGTCGACATATCCGATGTCGAGATACCGAAGTTTACCTGTGTTTAGGTTTTTTTTTAAACAATGGATGCATTCACAATTCTTCTATTGGTACAAATATCGATTTAGTGCCAATGGCTTGTCTTTGGCACCGATGTTAAACAGTGGTACAGTTGGTTACCTTTAAACTGTGAACAGCATATTGGATAAACCAATGACAAAACAACCAAAGGATGTGCCAATGGTTGTCAAAGGTTAATAATGGTACCACTTGGTTATTAATGGTCACTTATGGTAATCAATGGTTACCAACGGCAAATGTTGAGTTGTTCGCCATTTTCCAGAAATAACAAATTCAATAAGAAGTTTGTTGCACTGCTTAAACAAAATGAAATAACTTTTATGGACATAACTTATATGAAAACGTGCAATAATTATCTTCAGATGATATTCTTTTGCCAAAGCAAGTGTTCATTTGTTTCAAATTTGCAATACTATCCGTATGTAGAGAAATAACAGTATTTTCCCTAAATCGTAGTTAAATTCATCTGAAGTGTTATTACTGATGAGTTAACTTCACTCATTCTACCATGAATGGTCCTGGTAGCCATCTTTGGGGTGACTCTTATAAATGAAAAATCTCCCCGTTGGAAAATCTGTCATAGATGTGGTTGACCTGCAGAATAAAGGTAACCAATAAAAGTTACCAATGGTAAACATTGGTAACAGTGTTTTGTCATTGGTAAATTACACCCCCAATATCAACCAATGGGAGAATTGTGAACGCACCCATGTTTCTTCAGCATTTTCAGATATCGTGGCATCAACGTCGATATTTTGTTGTGTTTCCACAAAATTCAATCGACTAGTATGACTGTAATATTTTAACTCCTCTTTTTTCTTTAAAAATATTGTACCCATCTTAAAACTATACTGCACCAAAGATTTTATGAGCTCTACTCCGATTTATGTATAAGGCAGAGTTTTCATATTTGCTCTCTCGTTTTCACCTTCTTTGCAGAGATCATTTATATCAAGTTCTCAGCTCAGTGTAATGAGCTTGCTTACATTAGTGAATTCTATTTCGAGGACAATCAGAAAAATATTTTGTTTTTTCTGTAATTATGAGCGTTTTCATAGAACTTTCCAACTACATGTATAAACAAATAAAATTTGATACTTCTACATTCATTATGATACACTGTATATTGCACTACTTACTGAACGACCCTCGTATTTAGAAACAGATTTCACGAATACTACAGTATTAATCGCAAGACATTTCAAATATCTGTGTGTGACAACTTTTCTGGTTCTCGCTTGCTTCTTGTCAACTTTGTTATGAAAAAAGACGTTCTCCTGATGCTCAAACAAATGATCTTAATACGTTTTCTTTACAAACAATAGTTTGTCTTATTTTGATTGCTGATTACAAACCGAGATAATTTATTCCGTATTTCGCATCATTCATGAATTAAGTGTTTCTTCAATTATCTTGAAGTTGACAACGATGTGAAGTTATTTGAGTATATTAAATTATCCAGAATATGACAGGGGCACCTTGTCAATTATTTTAGGGCATTGAGTGTATTTATTTAAATACAGAATTTTGAAAATGTCAAGTACCTTGTAATGTTATGAGACATTTTCTGCTCATGCTTTAAGTTAGAAAACCTGTAAGAAACTAAATAAGTCTGTTATTTACATTATAAATATACACATACATGTATATGAAGAATTTTTTTTTACTTTATGGCGAATTTATTTTTCAATATTCAGAAATCCCATTATAAGTTCTGCTAAAAAAATTAATTAATTTAGAGTTTTGGGGTAAAAAGGTTCATCAAAACAGCTTTAACTTAATCTTCTGAATGTTTGCATTTGGCATGTGTAAATTGCAACGTATTTCTACAAACATATTGACAATGAAAATTGAATTTGATGCTGATGGATATGAAAAAAAAAAAAAAAAAGAATTGCCGTTGGCTGCACAGAGATCATTTCATCAAGGCCATCTCTTTAACTGACAATTGCGAACTTGATATGCGAAATCATTGAAAAACGTTTTAGACTTCCATTAGCTAAACAATAAGATATTTCGTAACTGGTGAAATTTAAAGCATTTTCCGAGGACGAAAGAGTATGAGATCACGTAGAGCAAATTCAGATTAAAAAAAGGTTTTTATTCTATGTCCATTTTCTAATTATGTTAAACAAATATGTTGTTTCAAATTAAATGATCTATTTATATTTTTATTATTGATATTGTCGGTATATTTAAATATAATTATTTATTTATTTACTTTTTATTATGAGTCTGGATCTAAAAAAAAAACCTTACCTTACCTTTCTAAGAAATTAAACTGACGCGTTTTTATCAAAAGAAACCATGTGATACCATTTGATTGAGGGATGTACTTGGTACCAGCTGGAAAAGTACATGTGGTATTCTTTCATACTTTAAAGGAATTTCTGTACATGATCTTGTTTTCATGCTTAAATATTCGTTTTGTTTCCATGGATGCTCTACATCTAATCTGTTGATGATATTTTTTTCACCTTGAAATTTATCATTTCTCAGATCAATCACAACTTTGGTTCAGGTAGAAAGTTTCACTGACAAGTATAGTATTTTACTTTATTTAATATCAGTTACAAACCATAGCACAAAATGAAATATTAATTGATAACTCGTGTTAACCTACCTGTACACTGTACAATCTTGCGCTAACCAATATTATTATATTCTTACGAGGGGTGATCAAAAAGTTCGCGAACTATCTCGATATCTACAAAACCACAATTCAGATTAGGATAAAATTTGGTACACATATAGCCATACACAAGTTCTATTAATAGCATATGTTGAATAAAGTTTTACTCCTTGTTTGTGACGTCACAATATGAAAATGACGTCACTATGTAGGTCACTTGTGACGAAAAATGGTTTTTTCAGT